CAGATTCCTGCTCTTCCCTTTGCTTCCTCTGTGGCTCAAGGAACATTCTCCCTTCAAAGCACAGAGGCTAAGCTTAAACTTGAGGGCATTCCTTCCCATAACAAGCTTGGTCACCCCCCAGACCCCCTGCTTCTTTGCACCATTCTCTTGCACAATAAAACACCATGTATTTTCATAATAGCCTTCCTTTAAACAGCCCCCTTGTGCAGCACTGCCTTGAAAATGACTGTTTTCTGAACTGAGAAACTCATACAATTTGCTCTGCAAAGTCATGTTAAATGAATCACATTCAATCACACCCCATTCGATTTTCAAATCACTTTAAACCAGACAGAAAAAATTATAAGGTTATGTTGCTTAAATAATTCAAATAATTCTTCACCTTTCCAATCACAGGCATTTCTACCTATAATTAAGGTAGAGCAAGGAAAGGGAGAGTTTTTAAATGTGTTGAACTTGCTTGAGAGAATTAAATATGGTATAATGTAACCAGTCTCTACTAACTGAAGAGAGCAAAGCAAGCCCTGGTATTGGACATGGGATTTGAGAGAAAAGGCCTTCTATTTCAACATTTATGTCCCAACTGGCTTTGTCAGAAAACTGGAGAAGGTCAGAGTAACTACTGTCTTGAGAGGGAAATTATTACCTGTTTTCATCCAAGGTGATTCTCCAGCAACATTCTTCCCAATGTCAATTTTAAGACAACCACAGCTGTTTTTAAGAATATTGCAAATGACAATCTACATGGCACACCACAGTTGAAGCACAGAAATTAAATATATATCTTTCCTTTTTATCTTCTTTCTGTCAATCAAGTGTTTAAACGGAATTATTTGGAAACATCCCCCTGATGATTGTGAATTATTTATACAGAAGATAACTTGCAGATGACTTTTGGTAAATTCTAAATTCTATCTGGAGGCTTATTAATTCTGCAGTAACCATAAAGACTGTGTGCTAGGAAGCCCAAGCTCTATGAAAACACTTTGTTGTCATCTAGGAAGGACAGTCATTTTACTATTAGATCAGTTGATTTCTGGGGCATCCACAGCTTCTCTGGGCAACTGTGCCAGGGCCTCACCACCCTCACAGGGAAAAAAAAAGGCCTAAAATCCAATCTAAACCTACTTGCTTTCAGTTTGAAGCCTTCTTTTTCTTCAAACAAGTTGGTATTTCTCTTGAAAATTTCTAATTCCAATTAATTCCTTAGACATATCGTTATCAGTTTTATTTTTTTCCTATTCCAATTAACATATTTTTTTTTATTTCATATTATTTCAATGGATACTATAACTACATTTTTCACAATATTTCATCATACAAATATTAAGTATGTTCTGGTCAATTGGCCCACAGAGTTACTGGAGGAATTCCATGTAATGAGCTGATACACTGATATCAGGTGGCATGACCCAGGTTCACTGCAGAGTGTCAGCACCCTGAGGTCCCAAATTTAGGCCAGAGAAGCAGAACTTTAACAAGCTTACCAGGAGAACTGGGGACTAGTTAATGCATACAGAAAGAAAGTGAAAAACAAACAAACAAAAAAAACCCCAACAAACTACAAACAAAGCAACCAAAACCCAAACAATACAGAACCTGTGAGAAGACTAAATGGCACAATCTAAAAAAAAAAATATTTAGTGGTGCTGTATATAGCAAAAGTCATGTCAGAATGATTTTGGAACAATGATTTTAATTGGTCATAGGCTAGATTACTATAAAGACCTTTTTTATTTCACTTTTTTGGATGTTTGTGTCTGTGGAGTGGGGCTGGTGGTCACACAGTGGCACGGCTAAAGCTGAACCAAAGGCAGGGAGATGCTGTCAGAGCTTCATCTTCCTATTTCCCTGCTGCCCCCCTGTCCTGCAGGGGATCAGCCTCATTATTCCTGCCACACAACATCCCGATCCCACCCCTGCCAAATTCCACTGCTGTTCATGGCATCTTGCTAAATGGCTGGATCAGATGCCAGCGAGGCAGCAGTGGCACTGTCACATGCCACTGAACACTCTCCTCGTTTGACCTCAGCACCAGCTTCACTAATGCTGACCAGGAAGAAGATTTTCTTCCCAGAAAAGGTTGTCAGGCACTGGAATGAGCTGCCAGGAAGGTGGTGGAGTCACCATCCTCAAAGGTCTTCAAGAAATAACTGGATGAGGCACTCAGTGCTCTGGTTCAGTTGGCAAAGTGGTGACCTGTCGCAGGTCGGACTTACTGACCCCTGAAGCCTTTTCCAGCCTCAGTGATTCTGGGATAGGTTTCAGAAGAGTCAGACTTTTGGTGCACATACCCCTGGGAGTGCTCTGACATGGGCTTTGCTCCTTAACAGGAGGTGAAGGGCAGTGCCTGGAGAATGTCTCAGCACCACCTCCACCAGAGCAGCAGTGTCTGCTGCTGTAGAGGCCAGGGAACAGCCTGCAGGAGTGCCATGTTCTCCTGACAGAGCCCAAATGAAAAGAGCACACAAAAGAGGGATTCGTTGTGCTGCTCAGAGCAGCATTAAGTCCCCTCTGTGTTCATGACCCCACCAGATGGATCACTGCGCACAGCTGCTGGCATCCAGTCCTTGCCCACAGAGCCACCCAGAGCCATGCAAGAGACCACAGGGGGAATCTCTCTTCCCTGAGATCCACATCTCCATCCTGCCAAACCATTCCCTGTCCCCCTCTGAAAGGCTTGGTCTTCCCTTCCTCAGCCATTTATTTACCCTGCCTGTACAGAGAGCGTGGTGCAATTGTTCATGGAGCTCCGGGAGATGAGTGATGTTATATAACTGCTCAGTATTGTTTCATTGTTTTTTAGGATGATGGAAAAATAAAAGGGAAATGTGGACTCCCCTCAGGGCTAGGCTAAGCAAACTAAACTCACATTACTGGTGATCCAAATGAACATTCACTTCAGCATCCCCAAGAATGCATTTTAGTGCATAGCATCCCACGTGAGAGGACAAGCCCTTAATAACTACAGCATGTGTGGGGTGAGGGAGCTTCACTGTTGGAGCTCCTAGCTAAAAGTGTTTACAAAAAAGTGTTGGTTTGTTGTTTGGCTGGGTTTGTTTGGGGTTTTTGATGTCTGCAATGATTAACCGTTCATTAAGTTCCGATATCTTGATGCCTTTGAAATGGCAAAGAAGAGCCTGCGGCTCATTGCAGGTCAGCTAACATAAAATCAATAGTGGTTAGTTAGGGCGTATTACCTTCTTGTCATGGGCCTGGAAGAGAAAAGTCTCTTCCTAACTCATATTTCCAGGAGCCTTCTCGGAGGGATTCAGTTCTCTCTTACTCTCACACTCTTCAGCAGCACAAATTTGCATCGGCACATTACGTGACTGTACCATGTACCCACATATTTACCCCAAAATCCAAGGGGAACCCATGGCTCCAAGGTTTCAGCCCCATTTATAACTTAATCTTTAAATAACCATCACAGAATCAAAGAATATCTGGAGCTGGAAGGGATCCACAAGGAACATCCAAGTCCAACTCAGGATCTCAAACCTCAAAATCATAAAAATCAGTGCATCTAAAACACGTGCTGAAAATTGTGTTGGTTTAAGCATGTATCTGTGCTAAATGCTCTGTTAAACTGGGCTCCAACTATGTCCTGGTCACATTACTCAGTGTTTGGCAGCAGTACCTATCATTAGAAAGCAAATCCTTTACTGCCCTATAAGCCAATAGAAATTATGTATTTATTTGTAAAGGTGTCAATACCGAATTTGCCTGAACTGAGCTTAACAACTGCTTAGAAACCCAAGCCAAGCAAATATATTTAACTATACTTTGAGAATGATTTGTTTTCTTTCTATTGGAAAGTTCTGATGTTTTGTTATGGAAAAACACAGCATATTCAAACAGAATTCTGAATTTAATTTCCTGTCAGATGAGTGAGGTCAGGCAGCTCCAGGAAGAGAAGGCAGCACTTGAACTTGTACTTCCATGAGGAGAGAACCAGTTCAGTGAAAGCAACAAAAAGACACATGGTGGGAAGAAAAAGAGTAAAAAAGGAGGGAGGAAGACCAGGCCTTCCCTATGTGTCACCAAGATCAGCTTGACCCATGCCCCACAGCCCTGATCTGCTTTCACCTACATCAGCTTGCTGCACTTACTACAGAGATGTAATCCAGATCCCTAAAATCCTTACACAGGATGCCAACCAAGTGGCTGTGTGGGCACAATGCCCCTGCTCTGAGCAGCTGACAGCCCAATCCAACACAATACACAGTTGGAGGACCAAACTCTGGTGCTCAGGCAGGTGGGGGCAGAAGTTCCAGAAAGACCACCCTAAAACTTCATCCCGAAAGACTCACTGCAGTTATTTGGTGCTTATTCAGGCGAGTCAGATGGATGTGGTCACTGAGAGCAAAGCAAAGCACTGGTCTGAGCAAAAAGCCTTACTCTAAGTCCATCAGTGATCTAGGTCTCAGCATGTGCAGCAGAGGTACACCACTTTGTTTCATGTGAGATTCAGCCTCACCAAAGGGCTGATTCTGCAACAACTCCCACCAAGGCAAAGTGGAGATCTCCCTGAGTCTGGAGTGCAGCTGCACTGGGCACTTTTCCTGTCAGCCTTGTTTCAGACAGCTCCTCAGCACATGACAGCCTCATTCCACATCTAAATAAACAAGCAAACCAACCAAGAAACCAACATCTAAAATTCTAAACTTAATGTGAGAGATGCTGTTCTCTCTTATGAGATTCCAATTCCTTCCCCTCAGCCCTGGGTTTTGGGCTGAGCACTCTGTTCATGAAAAGCATGACTTGCTTGGCAGTTATTTTACTGACCAGGAGAGAAAAAATCATCATGCATTTGGACATTATCATTAAAGAGCAGGGTCAGGGACAGGAAAGCAGCATTTGTGTCTAGGGGAGAGGATGTCAGAGCGCTGCTCTGCAAAGCCGATCTCAATTTATCTCAGGGCATAGATGAGGTACTTGAATAAATAATAATCCCAACTGAGCACTTATTTATATTAGAAAATTTGTCAGAAACAAACCTTGAGCGATGTTGACAATTAAGCACTCTCTTCTCTGCTATTCTTGCTGTGCCACAGGACGTGGGAAAGGCATGAAACATCCTTCAGCAATACAACAGAAGCTGGAGGGGAAAACAGAGATGTCTTTTGCAAGAGAAATTGTAAGAAAGCTCTTTGAGCTAAAGGAGCAACTTTGTGTTGGTCTTCAGAGTTAACTGTGATCCTGATGAAGGCAATGTGTCACTCTTCTCTCCACACCTCAATTGTAAAATCCACAGCACTGAGGTTTTGTTTGGAAATTGAAGGAACCAGGGGTGTGTTTTGATGAAAAGATGGTGCTTTCCATCCGTGTCCAAGAGAAAAGCCAGGCAATGGTTGTTGGAGCAGCACAGCACGCCACGTTCGGCTCCTGAAGCGCCATCTGAGAACTGAGAGAACTAAAACCAGAGAACTGTGTACACAAATGGTGTGTGCATACATAAAGGTGACTGATACACACACTCAAGGAATCTGGAGTGTACCATGAGAACAGTTCTGCAGATATTGCACTCAGTATTCTACTTTCTCATTGCACCTATCCACTCCCTCACGTTTTTGATCTGTTGTGCACTTGAAAATCTGTTCAGATCACTTTCAATCCGTTGTGCACTGGACTGAAACCAGTAGCAGCAGACAGTGCATTTTTTTCCTTTAGGTCTCAAAAATATAACAAAGATATAAAACTGTAAAACCACAAAAAAAAAAAAAAAGAAAAAGAAAAAAGAAAAGCTGCACATACTTTTTTGAATGGGGCCAGTAGGAACATGACTGAGTTACTCAGAAATTCTGAAACAGGAAGATAACTAATAAAATTATTTATAAAGAAGTATATCTACAATATTTAATAATTTAAGGCTCACAAGAAACTAACATATCAATGACAACAGAAGTTTTCTGCTCTAGGGTTCAAAGCACCAAATTCACTTCACATACAAGATAACCAGATCTGTACTGATCACTAGTGGAAAACTCAGAAAGTGCTGATTTGCTAATGTTCCTAGTGCTTTAATGATATCATATTTCACAGGAATAAGAAATCTCCTTTCAACCATAAATACAGTCATACAGATACAAAATATATTTTAATAATTTCAAATTGAAACTACAGTACAAAACCCCTCAACCTCCCCCCTCCCATCCCCAAGCCATTCATTCTCCACACACACATCCCCCCGGTTCTTTACACTAAACTCAGAGCAACTGAATTGGTTACAAATGACCCATTCAAAATCAATGACCATTTGCTAAAATAAGTTTCTACAAATTAGATTTTTCACTGTCATAATTTACCAGCTCCTGCATCACGGAGTGTAGCTTATTCTTAGTCTATTTTAAAAATAGGTGACCCTTTGTGTCATGGAAAAAGAACATAAAAACATGTATTCCTGGAGGACTGCTCAGGACAGAGATCAATTTATAAAATACAGCCTGACTTAAAAAACTAATTGGTACTAAAAGAATAATTACAGTAGCAAGTCTCTGACACCAGGAAATCCTTCTGCCCCTCTGAACTCTAACTGTCTCCTCTCTTCACAGGTCTGTTTCCCTATTGGTGTCCAGACAGAGCGCATAGAGGGATTTTCTGAGATCTACGTTACTTTTTGCTTTGATATTGGCTTTCTCTAAGGAGCTGGTGCCATTGTTGAACTCCTCACTGTTTTCCAAGTGCACAACAGATTTGTTCAGAGAGTTTTTACTGGGTCTTCTCTTCACTTCTCCCCCTGCAGTGCTGCCCTGAGCACTACTGTGTTCATCTTTGAGGACGGCCTGCTCCTCGTGGTCAGTCTCTCGGTGGTAGAAGTAGTTGAAGTTGGACACGATGACGGGGACAGGCAGGGCAATGGTGAGCACACCCGCGATGGCACACAAGGAGCCCACAATCTTGCCCCCCACAGTGACAGGTCTCATGTCCCCATAGCCCACAGTAGTCATGGTTACCACAGCCCACCAGAAAGCATCAGGAATGCTGGAGAAATGAGACTCGGGGTCATCGGCCTCAGCAAAGTAGACAGCGCTGGAGAAGAGGATCACCCCGATGAAGAGGAAGAAGATGAGGAGGCCCAGCTCCCTCATGCTGGCTTTCAAAGTCTGTCCCAAGATCTGCAGCCCCTTGGAGTGCCTGGAGAGCTTGAAGATCCTGAAGACTCTGACCAGGCGGATGACTCTGAGTATGGCCAGGGACATGGCTTGCTGCTGGCCCCCACCCCCATTGCTACTGCCAGCCCCGGGCTGCTGCTGCTCGTGGGCCAGCTCGGTGCCCAGGGTGATGAAGTAGGGGATGATGGCCACGATGTCGATGATGTTCATGATGTTGCGGGAGAACTCGGGCTTGCTGGGGCAGGCGAAGAAGCGCACGAGGAGCTCGAAGGTGAACCAGATCACACAGGTGGTCTCGATGATGAAGAAGGGGTCAGCCAGGCTGCTGGGTGGTTGCATGGGTGGGGAGTCCCCGGGCGTGCCATTCAAACCTCCACCTTGCGGGGGCAGGGGTATGGGCATCTCTCTTTCGTCCCTGAACTCGGGCAGGGTCTCCAGGCAGAAGGTGATGATGGAGATGAGGATGACCAGCACGGAGACGATGGCGATGGCCCGGGCTGAGCTGGAGCTCTCGGGGTACTCAAAGATGAGCCAGACCTGGCGCTGGAACTCATTGCGGGGCAGGGGCTTCTCCTCCTCTTTGATGAAGCCCTCGTCCTCTCGGAAGCGCTCCATGGCCTCCTCACCCAGCTGGTAGAAGCGGATCTCGTCGGCGAAAACGTCGATGGAGACATTGACGGGCCGGCGGAGCTTGCCCCCGGACTGGTAGAAGTAGAGGATGCCGTCGAAGCTGGGCCGGTTGCGGTCGAAGAAGTACTCGTTGCGGAGCGGGTCGAAGTAGCGAATGCGCTTGTCGGGGTCCCCCAGCAGCGTGTCGGGGAACTGGTTGAGGGTGCCCAGCTGCGTCTCGAAGCGCAGCCCCGAGATGTTGATCAGCACCCGCTGGTGGTGCATAGAGCCCGGGTTGGCCGCCGCCTCCTCCTCCTCGTCGCCCGCCGCTGCCATGGCCATGCCCCGGCGGTGTCCCCCTTCCTCGCACGGCCCCGAGTCCGCGGCGGGGCGCGGGGCGCGGGGCGGCGGCCGCGGCGGCGGCGCGGGGGCTGCGCGGGGCTCTGCCGCCCGCGGCTCGGGGCCGCCCGCGCGGGGACCCGGCGGGGGCCGCTCCCGCTCCTCGTCCCCCGCGGGCGGTGGCGGCGGCGGGGCGCTCTCCTTGCCGTCGCTCAGCGGCGGCGAGCCGGCCAGGTGCAGCAAGTTGCCCCGCCAGCGCGCCCGGCCGCCGGTGGCATCCTCGCCGCCCGCGATGGCCGTGGTGCCGCCGTTCTCCAGAGTCACCAGCGCGATCTCCATGGGCAGCAGCGGCAGCGGCGGCGGCGGCGGCGGGAGGCAGGAGCGTCTGAAGCGGCGGGCATGCTGCGCTCGCCGCGCCGCTGCCGCCGCCGGCCACCTCCGGGCTGCCCTGCCCTGCCCTGCCCGACCCTCCTCCCCTCACTGCGCCGCCGAGCGCGACCGAGCGCGGCCCGGGGGAGCCGCCCGGGGACCCGGATATGAACGAGCGATCATTATATTATGGTCGCTTGACGTCAAAGAGGATCCCTCCTGCTCCGCGCCCCCGCGCAGGCAGCAGCAGCATCCCCCGGGCCGGCCGGGATGCCGCATCCCCCCGCGCCCCGCCCCGCCGAGGGGCTGCGGGGCCCGGCCGTGGGGATCCCCGCGGGTGCCCGGGCGGGGGATGAGCGGCAGGGACACCGCTCCGGAGGTGCCGGCGGTACGTGCGCCCGGGCAGGGGGCTGGGGATGCCCTCCGGACCCTCCTGGGGATGGCCCCGGGCGCGGAGCGCAGCGCTCTCCGCTCCGCAGCCGCGCCGGGGGATTACGGAGCGGCCCCCGCGCGTGGATTTGCTCGCAGCGAGCGCTTCTGGCTGCAAAGCTCCGCGCACCTCTAATGAAAATCAGAACTGAAAGCCCCGGGGATTCCGGGCTCTTCGTGGCGTGTGTCCCCCACCCCCTCCCCATTCCCCAGCGGAATAAGAACAAAGGAAGGGATTGGGTATTTTATTTTTCCGCTTTGCGTTTGCTCTCCCTGCTTCTGCTCCCTTGAGTTTCTCGCTGAATTAGTGCGGCTCCGAAAGGTGCTTCCCCAGCCAGCAAACTACATTTCTGCTGTGCTATTTTCATGTTAAAATTTGCGAACACTTTCCCATTGATGCATTCTTAAACCCACATCCAAGGCTAAAACATTTCAGTAGATGCACATCTTATTAGAGAGAATTGAGCAGCTTTACACAGTAACTTCAATTACAGTTCAGTAATACAATCGATGCTAAAATCTTACTTGCTATATTCAAGCCATCTATTCTACTCAATGTCTGCAGGGAAATACACTAAATATGTGTATAAATACTGTAGGATTAGAACCTATAGGTATGTATACACCACTCCAGTCTTGTGGCGTTTCTGGTTTTCTAACAAAATTGATTGTGACCATTTTGCCTTCCAGTTGCCATCACAGTGACATTTTTTCCTAAATCCTTATGTTACTACTCACAGCTCCATCAAACACTTCACCTAGATTCACTGTGACTAGTGGCTTTCCCCTAATTTAAAACATTACCTCTGTGTATGAAATCTGCCCAAAGATATTAAAAGCAATGCCAAAATAGAAAACCATAATTGTATTAAAAGGTTTCTGTAAGTGGTGGCTTACATTTTATCTTCAAGAACTGAGCACAGAATTGCCACTGTGCCAGTGAATAAAGGACAGCTTTACTCACACCAGTAATTTCTAGAAGTAAAATTATGTAGAAGATAAGATGTTCTTTGAAAATAACAGCCCTTTGAGTTACAGTTATTTAGTGGGATAACGTATTAAACCTGCAAAATGTAGACAACACCCTGTGGGACTAGCAAAGCCCACAATAAATACAGGCACACCACATACACAGCTGTGCACCCCAATAAGGAGTGGCTGATCTGCTTCCAGTGCGTATCAAGGATTACAATCAGAGTAGGTCTTACACACTCGAAAAATATTCTGGTTTTCCAGCTCTGTCAGCTCCTGTAATTGCATGGCATCCTCCCTCCAAACATTGCCTCGGGAATAACCATTTATTAATTCAGGAGAAAACATCCTCAGACATCTGTGATGGTGGGCACCACTCAGAGCAGAATGAAAGTGTACCAGAAGAGCAGTAACTTGCTGCCTCTCAGATGTTTGTATCCATTCTGCCATTCCTTCCTCAATAGCAGGGAATGCCTGGGAGGGACCATGCAGAATTTAAGTTCTAGTTCAAGTTTCTAGCTTTTCTAAGTAACAAGTTGCAGTGTTCACATCCTGAATTCGAAGGCAGATAGGATTATGCTGAAGTGCAAAGAAAAATAAAGACTTGCCCAAATTCACTTGGATGAAAGCCCTGCAGAAAACCCTATGAAGAAAATGTACATTATTAATTGATAGATCAGAAAAATGCAGGAGCTTGTACAACATTTGAGTAACTTGTAGCTACTTTCTTTGTAGCTTTAAAAGGTCTGAGAATCTATTATGGTGTCTGTTAGTGTGGGTACAAAAGAAGAGCAGAGAAAAGGGACAAGAGAAAGTGGGAGGATGATGTTAAAGGGGAAGGAACATCTACTCCAAGCAGGGAATTTGAAAGGACAATTTTTATTTAATAGCCCTAATTTTTTCAGCTCAGTGTAAAGACCCCGAACATGCTCTTGAAAAGCAGCAGAAAGCCAAGGTACTGGAGAGAAAGGATGACATGCAGACTAGGGACGAGTAGTGCTGAGATGTGCTACTAGTGTTTTAACCAGGCAGTCCCTGAAAATAATTTATTTGTCCACGTACTTGTGCTTTAGCCAGAAGTATTTTCTACCCTGAACACAGGAAATCAGTCTTTTACAGTCCTGCATATACACAACAAAACCTAGCATTCACTGCAGCTCCCACTGTGCCTTTCCATGGCAGGTGTGGCTGCTGGGAGCTGTCCTTCAGTGTCCCACAGAGAGATGAAAGACCCATCCCATGGAGAGGCCCCACATGCTGAGAAATGAGCCGTGGGGACGGTCTGCAGGGGCTGCATTATTATGTATTTATTTGTAAAGGTGTCAATACCGAATTTGTCTGAACTGAGCTTAACAACTGCTTAGAAACCCAAAGCCAAGCAAATATTTTTAAGTATACTTTGAGAATGAATTGTTTTCTTTCTATTGGAAAGTTTGAGGTTGTGGCAGATGGTGAGGAAATCATCTGAAGCTGGGAGGAAACCGAAAGGGTTAAAGGCAAATCCATGCCTCCTCCACTTGGTTAATTCCTCGGCAGCTGAGATGATTCAGGCCAGAGAGAGGCACTGCCACAGTCCCCAGGCAGACCCTAGAGAAAAGACTCGTATTTCCTGTCCAGGAGGATTAAGTACCAGGCCATTGAGAAATCCCAGTAAACATCTGGATGGAGCACTCCATCTATCAAGCCCTAATCCACGAAGCTATTCATTAATGAGTTCAGCACATTCACACTGTTCTATATATAGAGCTGGCTGATTTTTCTAAATGTTTGGCTTCTAGGTGGTTTATATCTGTATCGACAGATTTTTTTTTTTTGGGTGAAGCAATCTACTGTATTCTGCTTTTGCTTGTTTAATTGCGTAAAGTAATTCTTTTGCCTTAAAAAAACCCCAAACAACCAAACAACACAGCTGTGTTTTCTGATAGTATATTAAAAAAATCCAATAGCTAAAGCCTAACCATGTCCCTGCATTTTATATTGCTTTGCAATTTTAAGCCCAAGTTCCTCTGGAAACTTTCCATCACACAGGGATGGAAAAAACATTAAATAGTAATTGATTTTCTTTTCTGTATTTTGTTTTGATTAAAATGAGAATCCCTCTCATTTATCTTCAGAGAGAAAGTAAGCACTGAGTAAATGGTCTGGTTAATTCAAAAGTAATTTGATCAGAACATCCATAATTTACATTGACTGGAACAGCAGGAAAGATGCTGAGCACTACCAGACATCAAGCTTCTTCATTTCAGCAGCCTACTTGCACTATGCTTTACATCTTGTTTGTGTAAACTCACAGTTTGTAAGGGGGAGACTTACACGCCCCTGTGCCCTCAAAGTCACCTGGTAGGATTGAATCACACTCCTGCTCCCAGCAAACACGCTATGGAGCTGAGCAGGCCCCTTCCAGAGCAGCCTTTGGCACTCATATTGGTATTTGCCCAGCATTTTGGCCCAGAGCTTTTTCACAAAACCAGCTGTGACAGGATATTTTCAACCCATCCTCAATGTTTTGGGCTCTACCAGGCAGCATGAGCCATCCAAGCTTGCAATTTATAATTTCCTTCCCCTTTTGCCTTCCAGCGCTTTGCTGTGGTGTAATCTTTAATTCCAGGGACTTGATTTTAGAGGGGGAAATCCCATTTAGTGCCTTTGTTCTCTGTTAAATTCCAGGAGCACATAGCTGTGCTCTCAGGTTTTTGTCACAACAGGGTGGCCCAGGTGGACAGTTCCAAGTGGGACAACCAAATTTTAAAACAGAAGAATGCAGCCAAGCAAGGGCAATCTGAAGGAGTAACCTGCAGAGCCTCGCAGCTATACCACTGCAGTTTTTTCTTCACTGCCAGTGCAAATACCCTCACAAGTGAATTTTTGCTTGCATCAATGCTTCTGTAACAGCTGTGCTCCATGCCGATGTCTGTTCCTGTATGGAAAGCAGGATGTTTCTGGGAAAACTCAATCCCTCCTTATCAGTCAACTGAAAATACTTCATTTTCACCCTGTGCCATCAAAGTCACACTAACAAAAAGCTCTTACTCATTCTAAGATCAGGCCACTCAGGCTGTGAGGAAGAGGGACAGGAATAAATCAAAGGTTTCATGTCTAGAACAAGTGGTGACAGCAGTGTCTGATTTAGGTGAACAGTCACTTCAAGCTGTCAGGTGACAGATTTGTACATCATGTTTTGTTATGTGGCCAGTGACACTCCAGAATCCATTGCTTTGTCACACATAAACACAAATTAAGCTGCATAGGCTGCCTTAAAAAACAGGTGAATGGCATGTTTAGAAATTAATGTATTTTAAGAGTGGAAAAGCAAGGAGTAATCTCATTCAGATTTCTTGCTCATTTCCTGCTCAATTTTTAAGCAGTCATGAGTCAAAGAAAATCAAAATACATTGTGCTTATTCTGGTGCAAATTATGAGTGAACTTAGTTACTATATTCTGAAAACATTAAAGTGAGGGGAAACTGAGGTTGAAACCTACTCATGTATAGGAAAAAGAGCATTAGATTGCTTAGTGAGCACAGATAATTTAGCCAGCTGCAGGAAATGCTCTACCACAAGACTAGGAGGCCAAAGGTACTGATGGTTTAAGCAGGAGAGGGCAGTAAATGAATCATTAGGTGGACTGGAGTAATGAAACAGCTTTACTTGCACTGAGTCTTCAGCTCTGGAGAACCCCCAGGGGAAACCTTCCACATGAATATGTTAGATACACAGCAGATCCCGTTTTCTTGTCTTTCCAAACAAAGGGAGGAATGAAGGACCCACCCAAGGATTTGCTAGTTAAAATTCTGACAGAAGAACAACTCCAGTATGCCAAAGTGTCACTATTTATTAATTTATTAGCATGGAAAAGTAGTTGGCATGAAGAAAACCAAGTAGCACAGATGCAGTGATTCTCATACTCAACAGTGACAATCAGAGATAATCTTTGCTCAAATCAAAGAAAAGACATTTATGATGTGTCCTTGTGACAGTGTGAACATGTCCTTTGTGGCTGTGTGCGAAGGGCAGGAGGGTGAGGAATGCCAGAATATTGTTATATCTTCCATATGTGTGTGGAGGGACTGAAGGAAAGGATTGGGGTACGAACACAAAGCAGTGAGGAACAAGTTGAATTTATTTTTTTGTAGCCACTCGACTCCAGATTGGTGTAGGGCACACAGGTCTTTTGGGATAGATCCATTTGCTAGGTTCAGGCCAGCTCCAGTCCTCTGGACATTCCCAATGGAGTTGGACTTCCTTATATTTGAGGTGGATTTGGCTTGGCAATGGCACTGCATCATGTCACCAATTCCAACCCTCTCCTTCAACGCCTTTGTGTTTCACAAAATACCACTGCTCTGTAGTACCAGTTTTAATCACCTGAGCAGGATTCAATCAGTAATTACCACTTGGTAGTTTAATTAGGATCTTCAAAGTACTACCACATCAAAATTTTAACAGTATTTAACAATCTGCAGATGAATATAAGTGCCAAATTCCAGTTGTAATTGATTTAGGAGAAAAAAGAAAAATAAGTCAGTTAGTGATGTCTTAAAATCAATGGAGCTATGCAGCTTTGTGCTACCCAATGAATTGATTTTATACATTTTGTATTAATTCTTATACAATTAGGTAGTGGAGGTGGTTGCTTATGGTGTTGGTAAACTCTTTGACAAGAAGCAAAATTTAAAAATAACGGTATTAAAAATAATAACAAATTGGAGAAAAATAATCTACGAATAGGGAATATCAATCTATTCTTTCTAGTTCAATTATGGCATCTACAAGGAGAAATACCAAGTATCTTCCTGCATTAAAATACTCTATTGGTATGAGAGCAACCAAAGGGAAATAAGCATTCCAGAAAATGGGACATGGTGACTTACTGCACTGGTTTCTTATTAGCATGAAAATGCTAATAATACTTTCTTTAGTTTCAGGACAGTGAAGATACCTGCCCAGCCAGACAACCTAATGTCCACTAATGTTCAATTTCCTTGCTGCTTATACTGATAAGAAGTTAAACCATCAGGACCACCCCAGGCCTAGTAGGAGCTTCCTTAGCAGGACAGGGTGGGATGCAGGTCCCACCTGCAGTCCCTATGGATTCCTGGCTGCTGCTGCTACCTGGACATTGATCTCCAGGCTGGAGGCACGTGACCCTGCCTGACCTACAACACCAAGCTGAGATAATTCTGTGGATGCAAAGAAACCCTCTACAGCCTAAGAAATGAAGCAGGGAGTTGTAGCTGGCTGCTAGACCTTGGACACCAAGTTAAAGATGGACAGGAAAAAGACCTTGTCTTGCAAATGTCCCAAAGCCTGCTTTGCTGGTGATTACTTGGCCTAGCTTGGCCTCATCTTAATTAAGTGTGCTCCTCAGTTCCTTAATCTCTGAGTTTACATCATTCCTTTCTTCTCCCTCACCAGGGATATTTGAAGACAAGACATGAGCCTCACACACACTTCCCAGATACATTTTCTTCCTGAAACCACATCACAAGCAGCAGAGAACGCCCATGTTCATCAGGCTGTGCTCTCTGTCCTCTTTGATTTCCATCAAGTCAGCTTTTCCTGCTTTCCCCTGACATAGGTGTGATAGTAGAAGCGTAGGAAGAGAGCCAGGAGGCTGAGGATGTAGAGGAAGACTGCGGTGTTGAAGCCGTCAGGGAACGGGCACTCCGTGAAGAGGTTGTAGGAAGAATGAGCAGCAATGGCCACAAACTGGCACTGGAAGAGGTGGAAAAAAGAAGCCAGATTAGGAAACCTATATGAGATTCATCTCAGCTGGCCATTGAGACCATCACAGCTATTACAACATCCTAGCAATGTCCTCAACAGGATCACCTGCTTGCCTCTCCTGACATCCCTGGTAACCTTCCTTTCAAGTTTAGCAGTGTTTTCCCAGCAGGAAAGATGTCCATCAAACCTGGAGGTTTAACCAATCCAGCCTCTCCTGCCCTTGGCCCATTTCTCTGCTATAGTTCAGTAACTGAGATGCTGGAATATGGAAACTGAAGGTGGAAGATTCCTCTTCCCCAGTGGCAATCAAGTTATTATACCCATAATTACTTTGATTTGTATTTTAACTTGCAGAGAGGAAACACAGATATTACCTTTATTAATTTAAACATTCAATATTAATACTTTTTTTTGTATTTCACTAAGTCACCTGTCTCAATACCCTGAAGCAATGAGTTCTACAGACCAAAGAGCTATTAATTTTTTTTTTCCTGTGCTATAATTTGCATTACAAATACCTTTTTATTTCATGCAATGCTTTCTTGTTCTGCTTTGCAGGCTATGTGAAAATCCTGGAGCAGCCTTCACTGCACATATTTTACACTTATCTTCTTCGTCTTCCCTTGTAACTGCATACTTTTGGTTTGCAGAACCTCTCTTTAAGCAGAAAAGTCTCTCCTACAACCATTGTCCTTGTCTGGACTATTGCATTTATGCTGTATCTTTGAAAAAACATGGGGTTCCCCCCCAGATTTGTAACTTCATCAGAGATGAGGGAAAGAAAATCCAAAGGGAATTTCTGGAGAAAGAGTAAAATTCACGTATTTCTCTTTAACTTGCCTGTTTGCCTGCAGTTAGAGACCCCCTCCCTTTCTCAAGGAACTGAATCAGGGCTCCCCAATCTGCTGCTGCCCTATTGAGAATTCAAAGTTTCCCTGAACCACTGCTCTCACCTCTCTATATCAAGCTCTGTTTTCAGTGCTCCATATACAACATAAAAGGGAGGAACCCAATTGTTAATTTTTCTCTTTCCCTCCCATTACAAAGCTGTGGATAATGAGTTTGATATGGTCACTGAAGGCCCCTGCTAACCTTGTGAAAGCAGTATTTGGAGCAGGTCACCCGTGGCTTCACCTCTCAGAGTGGCACATGAGGTGAAATGCAATAGAATTTATAGGGGCAGCTGGAAGACAGAGTTTCTTCCAGAAAGCCCCAAATATTTTTATGTCTGGATTCAGGGCCCAGGGGCCAAAGAGGACATGTCTGAGACTCTGACTGAGCTTCCATACAATTCACAGCTGCTTGGATCTGCTCCTTTTCAGGACATAGATTGTATATTTACTAAACCTGGGGACATGCTGCCCTCAGTGGGCAGCAAGCAGATGGAGGCAGTGAGGTGACAGACAGCAGGGGCCATCACACCTGAGCCGTGGGAGGGCATGGCTGAACTCCTGGAGCTAATTACCAGCTGCAGGATGGTCAGGTAACGCTTCCACCAGAGGTGCTGGCGCATCCGTGGTCCCAGGCTGGCGAGGGCGTAGTAGCCGTACATGAAGATGTGGACAAAGGAGTTCAGCATCCCAACAAAGAAGGCTGAGGAGTGAAGAAGTGAGGGTGAACAAGGCTATTCCAGGCTAAGGAAGGTGTGAAGGGCTCACAGCCACTATGATGATGCTTCCAAAATACACCACACCCACCTCTGTGCATGAGCATTCCACCTGGGATCTCGTACTTCCCATGCAAAAGCAGGACAGTGTGGAAGCACATCAGCTTCCCCCTTCCTTCAGCATCCAGAATCATTGGATGGGTTGGGTTGGGTTGGGTTGGGTTGGAAGGGACCTTAAAGGCCATCAACTCCAACCCCCAGGGCACATCTCCCACACTCTCCTGGCCTTGAACACGGCCAGGGTTGGGGCATTCATGATAAACCCAACAGGTATCAAGTGTTCAGAGACAGAGAAGGGCTTCAAAGGCAGAGGAGAGGCTTTGATCACCTGACCTAAGCATTTTGCACCATTCTACTGTCAAGGCCATGTAGCCAAAATGACTTCCCAAAAGAAGAATGCCCCAGCATCTTGTATAGAGCTTACCTAGAGTGGCTTAGTACCCAGATGCTTCTCTTCCAGTTGAGTAAAAATGGGCAGGGTTCTGGATACAGCCCAGAAATGGGCACAGCCAGAGCAGGAAACAGAGCCAGAACCTGGGCTGCTGCCCCAAGGCCTCTGACTGGTGAGTGAGGGAGCATTGCTCTGGGAGGAGATATACACAGACCTTCTGTGGGATGTTATTTTTTTCTCTTTGGACCCAGTCTGATAGCACACTCTTATTCTGGGTGAGGCAGTGAACATGGCAGCCTAAATAGCCCCAGGAGCTAAGCAGATAGGATCCTCTGAAATGGACATACCTTTCTCACCTTTGGAAGTAGGTGAGCTTCCTACCTGCCAGTCAGCCCATCTGCACTGTTAGTGCTACCTCAACAAGCCATGCAAAACACAAGGTTTTCTTGCAGCAGCATTTCTGACAAGCATACCTTGTCCTCCAGGCACGTATTTGACCCCTGACCACCAGTTGAAGAGCATAGAGCCATGATGGTACACGTGCAGAAAAGTCACCTGCTCTTGTTTCTTGCGCAGAATTAAGAAAACCTGAAAGAAGCCAGGCAAAGGAAAACCTTGAGTCAATGTGTTTAGACAAAAATTTCACAGTAAAAAGTTATAAAAATAGCTAATGATGAGTCTGAATCTTCCAAACCCATTTTCTCTGCTGTTGACAAAAAACTGGGGAAATGCAATAGAACTTATACGGGGAGCTGGAAGACAGAGTTTCTTCCAGAAAGCCCCAAATATTTTTATGTCTGGATTCAGGGCCCAGAGGCCAAAGAGGACACGTCTGAGACTCTGACTGAGCTTCCATACAATTCACAGCTGCTTGGATCTGCTCCTTTTCAGGACATAGATTGTATATTTACTGCCACCAGACAATAACCCACAGAAAATCCACTGTGTTGAATGGTGAAACCCTCCTGGAATTTGCATTTATAAAGAGAATGGTTTTGCCAGATGAATAAGTGTCAGGTCATGGCATTTCACCATGCACATTCATACACACACACAACAAAAAGTGAATCTGCTTTTTAGGCACTCAGGACTGGCAAAAAGCTGCTTTTGTTGCTGATGCAAACAGAGAGGGGATCGGCCAAAACCCTGGCAATAGGCCTAGGAAGGATCCACATGTTTATTCACATTTCAGTGGGTTAACTTACACCCCAAAGAGCTGTGAAATTTCAGGCTAGGACACAGCTGTCTTCTGCTGGCCAAGCAGAGGGCTTGTCCAGTCACTTAGTTCATTTACACTGCAGAAGGACACCTGAAGACAAGCTGTAAAGAGGTGGACTTTCAATTCCCCCAGGGCACAAACCTTTAGTGCAGAGTTCCAGGAAAATCCATGGCAGCAGAGATGCCAGGACTTGTCCAGCTCTTCTTCTGCCCCGCTGTTAACCAGCCAACCAGGCAATAGCAGAACCTGTGTGGCACCAGCAGCTAAAATTTTGGGGACCCACTTGGCAGCAGCCAGGGGTAAAGCCTCTCCCCTAGCACTGTGCTCAGCCTCAGGAAGGGTGCTGGGGAAGGAGTGTGTGCAGCAAAGGGATGGAGACAGGCAGTGAATCCATACAGGAGCAACCCAGGACATCAGCTCTGGCACTTTCTGACAAAGAAGTATCAGTGTCCAGCCCCGGTCCCGCTGAGGATCTGAGCCCTCCTTACCGTATCCAGCAGCTCGATGACTTTGGAGAAGAAGAACCACCAACACACTCTTGCCATCTGCTGGGCAGCACAAGGCACGGCGGTTAGAGCTTTACCCAAAATCAAATCAACACATTTTCAACCACGCTGTATCCCTGCCCACCCGGGGTCTGCAGCAAGGGGGGGAAATTAAGGTGTGGGTTTTATTTATTTATTTATTTATTTATTTTATCCAGATGGCAAGACTCTGAAAAACTGGAAGGGTAATATGATGCTTGCATCTGTTCAAAGCAAGGCATTGTCACTCCAAATTCAAATCCAAATTCAAAGAGAGAAGACTCATGCATCATTTTTGGAAAGCTGACGAGCTGACGCTGCTGGGACCCAAACCCCAGTGATGACCAGGGAATAGTTTTAGCTAAACCCCTCTGCTAAAAGAAGAGTTGAGTGAGATTTCTGTCATGCAAGGCAGAAGATATAAAAATCAGTTTTCTTGTTGGAAGAGATCACCCAGAATCCTTATAATGCATGTGAAGAATCACATCTATTTCAATAATAGATTTGCAATATTGGTACTTCAGCTGGTCAAATCACCCTCTCTGCAGTGGTCAAAGAGCAAACTTAGATGGCTGAGTTGACTGAGATGATTAATTTTAGAGAACTAAAGCAAAGCACAACAAACAAAGCAGACCATTTAGTGGAATAGATTTACAGGCAGCAACAAACTGGAGTCAAAGCCTTCTTAGCCATGCAAATTGCTGTTTATGAGCAAAAGAATCTGCCTAGCAATGGGATGGCAGGGCCTAAGGCAAGCTTTCTCCAGAACTGTACCCTCATTCCCAGCTCACTCCGGCTGTAATCCACTGGCTGGCACAGGTAGCTGTAGTTGGCCAAGACTGAAGTGACCAGAAACTGAAACAAACAAAAAGCAAAGAGAAATCAATTTTCTCTTCAATGCCATCTGATCCAAAAAAGATGGGCATGTTAATGCTAAGGTAGTAGGGTCTCAGTCTTACAGTTACAGACAGAAAACCATGGGCAAAGAGTAAAAACCTAAAACAAAATACTTCACATCCTGGTTGAAGTATCAAAAAAAGCAAATTTGGCCTGGGAAGATTTGTAAGTCTGTGTAATAACTGGAGGGCTCAAAACTACTTCAGCAAGAATACTGAATTCTAGGCTTCTGAGTCTCTCTGAGAGACTCAGTTCTCCTTTGCAAAGATCCAAGGCGGTTCTATTTGCCTCTTCATTGGAAAGCCAAAAACTGTACCAAGTAACCAGTATAACTGAACAATCAAGCACAGAAAAGCAATTTACACACCTGTCCTCAGATGGAGCAGCATTTGTTTAAAAAAAAAAAAAAATCCAAAAGCAATTAATGTTAATGTAACACTTGTGATACAAATTAAAAGGGCATATTTGTTGGCATCAGAATGTTTTGAAACCTATCTGGCCATGTTCCCTCAAAGAATTTTCAGCAGCCTACATAAACTAGGGGGAACAGGCTTCTAGAAAGGCTTATGCATTAAGAACAAGCAGAAAAAAAAATGTTCTTAACACTCTCAGCAGCAGGAAGATAGAGAGTGCTTGGCACTCCTGGAGAGAACCGCCAACTTTGGAAAATCATGGAATGTTAAGGGGTTGGAAGGGACCTTAAAGATCACCTGGACCCAACCCCCTGCCTTAAGCAGGGACACCTTCCACTAGTCCAGTGGTTCTCATCCTCAGAGATGGATCCGCCACCAGCCAGACTTGAGGTGAAAGGAGGCCATTCCACATCCTCCACACACTCTGTGCCTAATGGGGAATTCTCATCTTGATGAATGAAATCCCATGTTAATTTCCTGAATGGCAAGGGGGTTGAGAAATGGGAGGAGATCAAGCACAGCTTGACAATACTGCTCCTCTTGTGGCAAAACAGGGACGCATCCCACTCCCTTCAGCAGAGTCCATCAGCAAAAGCTGCTCAAACCCTGGAATCTGGAGGCTCTGGAATTGAAACCCCTCTCAGGTGCTTACCTAGGAGCCAATCCTGCCTTCTCACCTCATAGAACATGTAGCTGGAGAGTGCCACCATGGCCAGGTTGTAGGCGAGCAGCGGAGCCCGTAGCTCCAGCCGCCGCCGCCGCCGCATGCAGGATGGCCCCAACGCCACCATGAAGAGGTAGGAGGTGAAGACCAGGGTGACTGGAAGTGGGGAGTAGACCAGTGGCCACGAGTCTGTCCTTGGATCTGAGAAGCAAAACACAAAGCCACAGCTGGAACTTCCAGACAGCACAGGGAGGATGTGTTTAATTGTGTTTCGTTAATTCCATTCGGCGCACTCGCCGCAGAAAGAAAATTGGTGTCTTTGTGTCTTTGCAAAATTGCACCTCAGTCCTTCTGCTCTGACTCTGCCAAAAAGCTTTAGCACAAAGGTTTTAGCCCAATTTGTAGGTGTGGATATCTGAAATTCTCTACTCCTTCCTTTTTATATCTCATAGAGTGGGCTCTCTTAAAAAGCATGAATTCACTGGGAATGCCAAAACACTTACCCCTGCTGAAACAGCTCTTTGGTCCTACAGCAAAGGAAAACTCAAGAGATTTTCTGTCATGCCACCTCCTCCTAATCCTGCTATCACCAGGATATGTTATATCAGCAAAAACATCCCAGGTACCATACCTGCTTTCCTTTCCTGTGCAATCACTGCTGTCAAACTCCATGTTTTTATAAATGTCATACCAGTCTGGACAACTCTGTTAATCCCCCTCCCTTCTATGGGAGTTCTTTATGATGGCTGCTATGGGCTGTGTCAGGAGCTTTCTGATATTCCATTTCTAGATTTAGCAGTTCATCAGAAATCCTGAATCCAAATTTACACTCTCTTGTGAAATTCTAGTCCTGAAACATTTACTGAGCATTATGTAGTCTGAACATCAGGCCCCACGTCCTCCTCCTGCAAGCCTGCAGTTCTACCTTCATGGCATTTTGTGGCTTTTCTTTGCATCCAGAGATACATCAGAGCCCTTTGGGATCAAATTGAGCCTTTAATTATTGAATATCTGATGTCTCCTCACTGCAAGCTGTCAAATCTCAAGCACTGAGGAGTGGTTACTGCCAATATTTTATTTGATAACAGGTTTTCCTGGCATCACAAGGAGTTTAAACTCCGAAGTATTAACTCTTTGGTCAACTAAGCTTTCTCATGACACATGGAAATGCATTAAAAAAAAAAATCACTTCCTTCAGTACTCCAGACTCAACAGGCAATCCCAAGTTCTCTGTCTTGTCAGAGCCCACTGGGAAATCCCCTCATTCCTTACTGTGATCCAACTGGAAGGTCAATGAGATATATTTCAAGGGAAGTTTGTGATCATGGAGAAGTAAAAATGGAAATGTGCTTAGTGAAGAAAATGTGGGCTACTATTGTAAGGGTTGCATTCCTTCTAGGCTTGGTTTTCATGATCATGCTGTTTATGCAGAAATTCCCATTTTAGACAGCATCTCTACCTACCTCCACTTTCAAGAATCCAGTTGTAGAATTCCTGAGTTTTCTGCCAAGTTGAAGCCATCCCAAGTTCTGCGAAGAAATTAACTTGACTGAGTAAGGATTGAGGAGGCTCTTAAGACAAAGGCTCAGAACTACAGCTAATGAAAGGACAGCACTTTGCTTTCTAAATATTTTACTTTTAGACCAGGATTAAAGTCCCCTTTAAAAAAGGAAGAAAGAGAATACCCCCCTCCCCCCTTGCAATAATTAGCTACTAAAATTCCAGATTTTATTTATTTATAAATTTAAATGACTTATTATTTAATTTCCTGATTTTGATATTTCATGGAGTTTTCACCTTTAAAAAAAGCTCTGAGCAGCTGCATGTGATCTGCCAGATCCAGGAGGGAACTGCCAGTACCACTGGGAAATCAGTCACGTGGAAATTTTTCCTAAAGCAGTGTGGGCATGACATTCATGTGAGGACACACACCAAGTGTCACAACTGCACATTTCTGCAGGTCGTATTGGATATTCCCAGTGCTGGAAGGCAGCTAGGGATACATTCATCACTACTGCAGCTCCAGAGGTGTTAACAGAGCTGGCTGTTTGGTTTTCTGAGACCCCGAAATTATTATTATACATTAATTTTGTTTTATCTTGTATAGATTCTGTAATATAGTATATAAAGTAGAACACTCATACGTATTATAACGATCTTCCTCTTCCCTTCTTTCCTTTAGTAGGGAGATGTTTTCAAAGGCACTTAGAAGTTCTCCTAGAAAACACTTTTCTGCAGTTAGTTTCAACAGCTTGAGCTACCTGATCCAGTTCTCTCCAGGGACATCTTCCTCCCAGTTTCATCTCCTGCTGGCATTGAGAAAAGCACATTTTCTCCTTTGACCCCTCCTCACAGACTGTGACACCCACTCCCAACACCGTGTTGGTGACAGACACCCCCAAATTCCTCTCCTGCAGTTAATCCTTGCAGTCAGCCTCCTTTTTGGGTGTTCCTCTGGCACAAAACTGGAGAACCCCGGGACGTGTCACACCCATCCTGACCCAGAGCAACAAGCCCTCATAATGCGGGTGGACTCTGCCAGCACCCAGATTAGTCGGCGATTATCAGCGGGCTCTGAGTCAACCCCGCGGGGGTTCCACACGGTTACAAGTCCCCCAGAAAATCCACACTCATTCCACTCCCCTTGCTTCCCCCCAAACTCGGGAAAAGGCAGGAATGAGAAGCGGACTCACCGCAGCAGCGCATCCGAACATCCTTTTCTCCAGGTGTATCCCGTGGAGCTGGCAAAACAAGGAGCTGCAGGCTGTGCTCGGCTTTCCTCTCCACAAGGGAGGTGTGTGCATCCCCTGCCAGGTCTCCCACAGCCCTGGTGGATCTTCAGACCTTCTTCTTCCTCAGTCTCCCAGCGGCGGCCACCAAAACCACGCTGCGATGCGCAGGCACCGCAGGGTTGTCGTGCAATTTTGCCCGAATAAGAGGTTATGTCACATATTCCTCCCCCTCCCTCTCTTGCCTCTCCCTACACTGTTTATCAGATTAGGGGACTGGAACGAAGAGGGAAAGGAATGCAGAAGGTTCCTGGGATTCCACAGGAGTGAACCTTTAGTGCCCGGCCCGGCCAAGTGGGAAGCGGGCCAGCATTTCTTCTGCAGGTTTCTTCAGGACACGCCAGGACAGCTTTGCAGAGAGTAGAAGAGGAGGGATCACGGCTGGAAAGCAGCATGTTTGGAGCACTCCTTCAGAGCAGCACAAGGGGCTGACAGCGAGCCCTTTGTGTGCTCAAAATAGGTCCTGAGCACCAAATGAGGGGGCAGAGAACAGTGGGAACATCACTCACTCACTCATACTCACTCACTCACTCACAGCAGGGAAAACTCAGCTGGAGCCATCCCCTCATATCCAGCCTGTGTCCCTGGGGGAGTCACATTTCCTGCTTTTAATGGCAGCAGAATATTTGGAGGGGTGTTTGGAGAGATACCAAGCGATCTCCAGCAACTGCACCAAGGGAAAATGCAGAGAGTTGCAGTGATTCAGTCCCATGTGGGGGGACCTATGCAAAACCAGGACCCTGGACCCCCGCCCTCCAAGAAACAGCCCAAAGCCAAGTGATGGGGTTCAGCTTGGTCACCTGGGGCCACCTGGAGTGTGGATATATCCTCTTCTTTCCCCACTGGGCACAGATTATGAGCAAACTCCAAATAAACTAGAAGGTAGCACCATTTCTCATACCATGGCATTGTGTCTGTCACCAGATCCATGACAAACCTTTTAGAAGGGTAAAGCACCAAAGATTAGCTTTTCAAAGCAGCTTTAGGAATTAGGCAGATCATGTGCTGGGAGTTTTTCATTGAAAGGCATCACATGCTGATGCTGCTGGACAGCTACTGTGTTTTTATGATTTATGGAAACCATGGAAGAATTTAAACAAATATTTTTGGGAAAGGTGACTTAGGATGAAGGTTTTGAATTTGTGGGGTCAGGGGGTTAGAAGGGCAATCTAATTTAGAAGAGGGTTTGACTGATCTTTGGTAGCATATTGGGTTTTTTGCTGACCCAGGGTCAGGGAGACAATTAGTGTGGACTTTACAATTATAGTGATCTTTACACACTTCTTTTTGTTATTTCTTTTTCTTGTAGAGCTTCCTATAAACACCTTTCCTTGAAATTTTCTAATTGTTCATGAACCATCAGGTTTCATTTCTATATTTTTGGTGCCCCAGTCCTAAAAAAGGTTCAATGATTTATCTGTGTGAATCAATGGAAGTGATAAATCAGACCAGTCCTTTCTATCTGTCACATGTAGATGGGACTAGATTTTATTATATCCATCTGGTAGTTTAAGTTAAGTACTATGTTTGTTTAGTTATTTATATTGATGTATAAGACTCAGAATTACAGACATAAAACTTTTCCATCAAATGTTTTTTACCCTGGTGAAAAAATAATCACCTGCAGTGAATTTTCACAGATTTAATTTCGGGCAAACTATTTCATTGTTCACATAAACTGAATTTTTATTTTTTTTTAAATACCATGAAATATATTTTATTTTTTAAAAACCTTCCCTCTGAAGTATTCCCAGTGGTGCTGTTGCAGGTGTTCACTAGCACGGCTGGCAGATGGAGAGATGTCCTCAGCAATGTGCTACTTTTACACTCCAGGAATGGGTGTCCTTTGATGAATGTCAGCACAACTGTGGGGGCAGCTCTGCAGGGACTGCACACAAAAGCCTCAGGGCTTCCACTTTCAGCAAGAACTCAGTAGAAAAATAACCCCCAACATTGCTCCTTCACTGAAATAGTATTAGGGGAGCTCTTAGTGCCAAAGTGAATTGGGTTTTTCATTCAATGACTTGGCAAGAAAAAAGGGACATGAATGACAGGCACAGTAATAAGGAACTCAGTCATGTAGAATGTGTGACAGCTCAGATAACCCCATCAGAGATTTAAAAATATATTAACCAGTGAAAAACCTGTCTGTCTTCAGCATAGTTTAGTGGTGATTGCCACAAAATCATTATCAATAGCAAGTACCAGCAGTAAAACAATCCTGAGGGTTTCTAGACTGTGCAGCTTTTGCTCTTTGGTCCTATGATTGCTATTGCTTCCAACCAGAGTTTACTAAAAGTACAAATTACCAAGGGAGACCTGTTCTAATGCTTGAGAAAGGCAAGGAGCAGGGAGTCACTCTCATCTGGAAACACAGGCTATGTCATGGTGCTGCTCTGAACCCCACAAAAGAGACTTGGCAGATTACAGACCCACAGAATTGTTTGGGATGGAAGGGACCTTAAAGATCAGCCAGTTCCACCCCCTGCCATGGGCAGGGACACCTTCCACTATCCCAGGTTGCTCTGAGCCCCATCCTTGGACACTGCCAGGGATGGGGCAGCCACAGCTGTTCTGGGAAACCTGTGCCATGGCCTCAGCACCCTCACAGGGAAGAATTTCTTTCTAATATCCAATCTAACCTTGTTCTCTGTCAGTGTGAAGCCATTCCCCCTTGTCCTGTCACTCCAGACCCTTGTCCAGAGTCTCTCTGCATCTTCCCTGTAGGCTCTCTTCAGGCACTGCAAGGCCACAATGAGGTTGCCCCAAAGCCATCTTTAGGGAGAACAAGATGATCTTTAAGGTCCCTTTCAACCCCAAACCATTCTGTGGCTCTATAATCTGCCAAGTCTCTGCCGTGGGGTAGAGACCATAGAGCATATAATAGAACTTGCCACTGAACATCCACTGCCATTGGAGAAGGGATTATTATTCCCTTTTTTTCCCCTCACCCTCTAGTTTCTGATATTCCTCCACTATGTGCACTCAGCTGATCCAACATGCCAGTTATAACAGATGCTGCTTCAGAAGCTGGAGACATTTAAAAGGTGCACAAACGTTGTGCAGGCCACCTGCAAATGTCTGGGGTTCACACTGTAGGAAAGAGTGTGATTGAAATTGAATTTCTTGTAATTCAAATTCTGATGTTGAAAGAAAATAACGTGTATTCTGTTTTTATCATCAGAATTACCACTCCAACATCTGTCAGCCGCATGGGGATTCTGGAAGTCTAAGACAACTCTTCTTCTTTTTTTTGTTTGTTTGTTTGCCTGGCAGATACGCATATCACCCTTCTTCTGTAGACACAAAATTAAACTTACCTGGATCCCTCTGGGATGGTTCCATGCTTTCATCCCCTCTCTACAGAAATTAGTATGGCTCCTTTTCACCATTAAACCTTTCACCATAATTATGCCACCAGAAAAATTGCTGACATGTGGTGGTCAAGCAGTCCATGATGTATCCCCAACTCTTTCCACCTCACCTTTTATTCCAATTTTGCCTGCTCCTGCCTTTCTCCTTCTCATGCCTGCAAAGCACTGGATCGTGTCTAACATGCAGATTGCAGGCTCTGCAGAGTCTCATTCCCTGTGCAGTGACTAACCAAGTATTTATGACAGCAATAAAAATTGAGGATGCAAAATCCTCTTTCCTCCTCTAATGATCTGGTACATCTGCTCCCAGTGATCTGGAAGCCAAATAGAGCAGATATTTATAGGAGCCAGAAAATGAGCAGTTCGACTTTCCAACTTCCAATGGTGGATTTTGGAGCCAATAGGCAGCACAGAGTGTTCTGATCTCTGTCCTCTAAAGCAATTACTGCATGCAAAACAGCAGACACCTTCCTGAAATTGCCTTATATTTACAATAGCAAAAAAGATTCAGTTTTGTCATGGTCCGCCCTGAATCTCTATGTGTGAAATAGAAGATTTCCTCTTGAGTTAAAGTAACTCATGACAAAAGACATGAAATCCTTACTGAGACAACAAACTCCTTCACGCAGAAAAAAATGGCAACATCTCTACTGGGCAGGACTTTGGCTGGATTTTATGTATTGTTCTCAAAGTGATGAACTGAAGGCCAGGTTGGATGGGGATCTGAGCAATCTGGTCTGGTAGAAGGTGTCCCTGCTCAAGGCAGGGCTTTGGAACTGGATGATCTTTAAGTTCCCTTCCAGCCCAGACCATTCTGGGATTCTCTGAAAACAGCATGGGTGATTCACTGGAGAAAAACTGCCATTCCCCCTCGATTTATTACAGAAAAAGAATGTGGTTGGGACTCCTCCAGTTCAGGTTCCTTGTGCCTGTGGTGAATCAGTCAATAATAGAAGGGCCATACATAGTCAAACAGCTGCAGAGCTGCATCATAAAAGTGACGTGATTCCTTTGCAACTCCCCGAGGTTTAATTACTGTTTTATTCTTAGGGATCCTTACAGAAAGCCAATTTGTTCATGGCAAGAACTGCTAATATCATTGCTGCTTCTGGCAAGTACAGTCCTGGTTAAGGTGGCAACAAATGAGCCAGAAAAACATGCACGAATTTCCTCTCCTCCTGCTTTCCGTTTCTGCATTGGATCCTAAGCTAGATTTTTTTTTTTTTCCTACCACTAGAGGTCTGTAATGTGCTGCACGTTTGGAAAAATCCACATTATGTCAGCGGCATGACAGTACTGTGAGTACAAATCTGCACCATGATTGTAAAGTTTCTATGTATTTAATTTCAGCTTCTGAAGACAACTTTCTGCCAATGGCAGAACAAGTTATTTGAAGCAACTTTTCAGCAGTTTAATAAGAGAAAACACTTAATAAGCAAATCATTAAACATTTATGACTATGAGCAACCTTCCTCAGCTCTCTTTAAAACCCATGGACTAATCTTTTGTGTAACATTGCTTAGATTGGGATTTACTGAACAGACACCCAGCCAGCTGGTTTCAAGTTAGGAATAAATAGAAATTCAGGAATAAATATTCACATCTAGTGTGTTTGTGCATTTGTTTTGCTAGTATAGCACATCTGACATCTTCACTGGTGTTGGTGGTCTGGAAAAAGTACCTCACCTATGCACCAAGGCATAGAGAGAAATACTTTTTTATTCTAAAGTAATCATAAGAGATGGGTATTTCCAAAACAATACTTCTGTTTATATTGTGTTGGGGGGGGGGGGGGGGGTTGTTTTGGTCTGGTTATCTTTCATGTAGATTTGGCTACCTGATCACTCTGGTTTGCTCTGAGAGGCAAATTTTCTGCTCGTATAGGGACAACTTTTCTGCGGATTTCAGAGTAAACCCTGAGATTTCTCTGTAAATGAATTTCTGTGGGTAAAAGCAAGCTGAGCACTGAGACTGATGGTTTTCTACTCATGACATGACCCCAGTCCAGGTCTAATAATTACTTTCTTACAAGCTGACCATGGGTCCACGGGCAGAGCCACTGACATTTCCCAGTATTCATTTCAGAGCTGCTGCTTCATCCTGAAGAGCACATTTCTTCACAAGTCACTCTCACTGGAGATGTTTGCAGAGGAAGGCAAGAGATGGCAGCAGAAATTGCCTTCCTGGGATAAGATTCATCTCACCTAAGCTTACCCACCTGAAAGTTAGATGTCTTCAGCAAACCCACAGACCCTGGAGAGAAACCAGTGTTACTGGGAGGTGAGTCACCGAGCCTGTCAATTCTGCCATGAATCACCAGTTAGCAGTGCTCTGGTTTTGTACTGACAAAATAAAGCACCCAGAATGTGGGAATCCAGGGCATCCCTCTGGCTGCCCTGGAAGGTCTGGGACCCTGGCAGGGGGTCAGGAACCCCCTGTACAGAGCCCCCAGAGACACTGTCTCTGATCTCTGTCCATGAAAAAGAGTTTTCAATCTCACAGGATGAATTACAAGCTCTGAGTGTTTGATATCAGTAATAATTAAGTGTGGCACGGGTGCAAAAGTAAAATTTTAAGTTTCTAGATTAGGGGTTCAAAGGGGACAAGATGGAGGAAATTAAGCGTGCCTTGTCCTTTTTCTCCTTCTTCATGCCCTCCATGTTTCACTGTGGTGTTGGCATTTTTCTGTTGGTTTAGGCTGGGGACACACTGTTCAACGTTGGTGACAGATATTGGCACGTTATTGTAAATACAGCACAGGTAGTTTCTGGTATATAATGTTTGTAACATCCCACTGGGGGCAGAGCCCCACACGCTGCCCTGCAGGGATCCTCCTTGCTGTGCATCTCTCCAGGACCCAACCCAGCAACTCTGACAGTTTGTCCCTAGAGACTGATCACCTCTTGCTGTGCTTCAGACACAGAACCTCTTGGCCATCCCACTTCTGCAGGGGATTGCTGGCTGCCCATCCCTCCAGCTGCTCTGCAACAAACCCAGCTAATGCTGTGCACAGAGCCCTGTAACCCAGGTGAACTCTGGCTCACCCTGCTACTGCTATCTGCTTACACCTCAGCTGCCTCCTCTAAATGATGGCTGCTGACCTGGTAATTTAAGCCTGGTCTCCCTTCACATGATTATATCATTCCTAGAAGCTGCAGTTGGCTTTGGAATGGAGCAGGTCCTCTGTGCAGGCCCAAGGGCACTTTCTAGGATGCTGTGGTGATCCTCACAAATTCCCCTGTCCTCCAGGTGTCAACTGATGCATCACCAGATGCCACCTGGCTTGGATGCAGAGTGCTGTGCACACCATGGGTTTTCCAATTTCCCATACCAATAAACCAGCTGCTCATTCCCCTTGCTGGCTGTTGTTCGTGAAAACTGCAAGCCACAATTATAAGCAATTATCAGCTTCTCTCCTTACATGATTCCCATGAAAAGAGCATGGGAGAATTTCAAGTGGGAGGTGCCCCTGCTCATGGCAGCAGGGTTGGGGCAAAATGATCTTTAAGGTCCCTTTCAGCCCGAACCATTCCGTGAGCTTTGTGATCTTTGGAGCAAAATCTTATGGGCACAGGAAAGTGCTGTCTCTTATGCAGAAATTGGGGTGCAGGACACCTTTCCCTTTTCAGGAGGAGATGGAACTTTGTGGAGCTGGAGATATGTAATGGACAAGGGCTTTTCCACCCCTCAGTCCCTGGAATGAGCTCTGCTGAGAGAGGCCAACTTAAGCTGCTGCCTGAATGCTGCAGAAACAAACTGGCCAAGCTGGCAGCTGCTGAACCTTTGGTAGTCACATTCCCAGAATGGCCAGCAGCTGCCACTTGGACAGGAATCCAGCACTGTTTGGTGGCATTTACCTTCGGGGACAGATATTTCTCTGCATCAGGGAGAGCAATTTACGCTTTCAGAACTGTGTCTAGATGTTTATTGCTTTTTTTTTTTTTTTTTTTTTTTTTTCATTCAAAAATTATTCCTGTCACAGCTCAGACTCTGACTCAACTTAATTAGCATTGGAAAGGTCACCTCACAGAAATTTAGGTAGATGAAGGACAGGAAGTCTTACATCATTTCTTTCCCTTCCTTGCTCCAGAAGGCAAAGTCTAAACATTTCCATGCTTGTGCCTG